GATTTTGTAGCAATTATCTATTTGTCTACTGAGAAGCATATAACCAGCCCTGTCAACCCTCACACATTAGGCGTGATTGTTACGCATTTGCTGAAAAAATTGAAATCACACATCAATATTGCGTGTTTCACACTAATCAGGCATTCTGTTTAAATAAAAAAAATCCGTTTTTAAAATGCCGAAAAAAAGAACGCATTTCGTTCAGACATGTCACACATTTGTTTCAAATTGCCTTCATGCGAGTAGGTAGTTACCAGTTCCACCACCAGGTGGCTGATTCGCGGTAAATAGCATGGCAGGTATAGGAGAAAATATTTCCTTAAACTTGAATATTAGCAGTTCTAGTGGATCAATTTTCATAATACCTACATGTATCTGATAGTTATACAAATTAAAATATGTCCAGTAAAGCAAAATATTACCTGTCCACTAAAAGAAAAGATATTTCACTTTTTGTGATTTTATAACATGGGGTCTATGGGGATCTCCCCGACCTAGAAATCACATTTTAAAAAAAATAATTTTTTAAAAGTTGATTAACAATTTATGCAACCACATTTCTAGATGTAATTTTACATATAGATTTCAAATATGATATCACTTTGACTGAATTTTGAATATTAAATGATGTCAATCAAGATTACTTCTACTCGCATCTAGGCTATTGTTAGGTGTTCCCAAGTTGACAGGCCTGTATAGCACTTTCTGATGACAATTTGGCTAGATAGCAACCATTTTGAAAATAATGGGCATTTTTATGTGTGTTTTTTTTTACAATTGTTGCTCAATTCATTTGTAAAAATGGCAGCCATGGCTGTTCGATGGGATTTGCTACGCTTTGGCGTTGCTGTTGTCTAGTTGTGTACCTGGGTACCTTGGTAATTCAAGTAGAAAATCCAAATATAAATAGGCAGTTTCCTTACCTCTACTCTTGACTTTTTTGACAAAACACTTTCCCCGAAGTTATTAACAATTAATATATGTAAATGATGCTATGTATCGGCAATTATACCACTCTAAGTCCAATTTCAGTTGTATAACATGGGTCTATAACAACGATATACAGTGGAGAGTGGTATATCGTCATTGTATACAACTCCTCCGTATACACTCCAGCGTATACCACTTTAGACGTGCATTCTTATGAATAAAAAAATCATGAAAATTTTCATGATTTCCTAGTATCAAGTGACGTCATAAAGGGTTCCGGCATGATTCGCTAGAATCAAGCCACGTCATAAATGGTTCGAGATCAACATCAGCATTATTGAGTTGGCTAAGGGATATTTTTATGGTTTTTAATTGTTATGATTGTGTTAGAATCAACTGTAATTGAACTTGGAGTGACATAATAAGATTATATTATGGTTCATTCTGTATATCGTGCATTTTATACTCTCGTGAGAATATAATACATTCACTCGTTCGCTACGCTCACTTGTGAATATATCATATACTCACTCGAGCATAAACACGATATACAGAAAGAACACTGACGCTGGGTAAATGCACCCTATGCAGACAGAGCCTGTGGGAAATATTGGGTGCGGCGCAAATGAGCGGAGGGTGCGGAGCTAACGGTCATTTTTTAATTTAAAATTGGGATATTTCTGAAACTAAGCCGTTTTGGGACTTCAAATATACCAAGATATGTAAACTATTGAAATATATTAAACTTTATTCCATAGTTAGCATGATATTCATAGGATAACATGTGGAAATAAAAACGGTATTTTTGTAATCAGTGGTAAAATATGATATTTTTGACAAATTTTCACTTAACCATAGCATACGTTTTTTTAGCCATGACATACGACATCGTATGCGATGGTTTATGGATTTTTGCTACTTCAGACTCAAAACGAGGCTAAGTGTCAACATCGCCGGATCGTTTGGAAAATTCGAATTAAATGACTTAATTTCCGACGATTCTGATGATGACTTTAACTATGGAATAAAAAGAACATCCTCTATGTATTTAACAAATGCCTTCTAAAGGTTTTCTTACATTAACAAATATTTACCTTAAAATAAATGAAATATCTGGTAAATTAAGTGAACAACCTATCTGGTCCGCATATTAACTCAAACAGGGATATGAGAAATAAGAAATATCAGTAAAGTAACATTATTGTAGTGAAATGTTCATGTATTCAAAACTGCCTGTCATCAAAATAGAGAATGTCAGTAGACAGGAATATAGTGTACTCCCGATTAATTTCGCGAATTTGAGAAATACCAATTTCGCGGATTTCAAAGGTTTACATTCCATTACTCAGAATGTCATATTTGGATAAAATTTACAATTTCTAGATCTTAGTCAATGGCATGTTGCACCACAGCCTTTAATTGGTGAACATCGCGACCTAAGGTAGGTAAGTCTAACCTTTAATGGCTTCTATAAAATATATATGACATGTTTTAGTTTTTGCACAGTTATATAAGTTTTTGTCCTGTTCTCATTTGAATCACATGTTATTTTAGGAAGACATAACTCACACCATACACCTTTAAATATTACACAAAGAGTGGAGTTAAGTTTTAAGATAAGAGTATGACATAATCTCATAAAATGTTGAAGAATGAGAAAATTCAGTGACTTATTTTTCAAAATTAAAAAATACTGTTCTTCTGCTAATTTGGCGCATGTTTTCAAAAATCCAGAAAAGCCAAATTAAAAAGCACCAATTTTAGTAAAAGTAGAGTAGCATTTATCTTTATATCTGTATAATTCACCACACTCTTTTCTATAAATGTACCTTACTGCACTCTTTGGTGTATGCTGAAATGAAATATGCAGTATTGAAAATACCACATGACTTCATGAGTACCTACTTAAAAACCAAAAATGTACACAATTACATTTACTTATTCGACTCCTTGTTAATGAGGTCCTCCAAACGTACCCTTGCAGCTGGTTTTGCATTGAGGCACTTCCTCATCACAGGGCAGCTCCCAAGAGGGACGGCTGTGATACATCTGCATTGACCGTGTGGTCTTTGCTCACCCTTGATGTTGGTGTTACAGGTGGTGGAAAGCTTGTGGGGTTTATTTTTTTTTAATTTCAAGAGTGCTCACGACAGTTGTACCAGAAAGGATATTTTGCTTCATAGAGCCATTCCCTCTGATGAGTAGTGGCTCGTCCTTATCTTTAATTATCAATAAATATTCAGAGTCATATTTCATAGAGAGTTCTTCTAGTTTTCCAACAATGCATTTCGTTCGTGAATTGCGTGATCGCACCCAATTGTCCCGACGTTGTTTCTTGCTGGATGCTTGTGCTTGAGTCTTTAATATACCCCTTTTCCCAGTTATGGTTTCAACTGGAATAACGTATGTTAAATTGTAAAGTCAGGTACAAGCATTTTATGAGGTTATTTTTAACTACAGTAATTAGAAGTTGCCAAAATTTACAATATATTAAGATGCAAAATGGGAAAGGACTGAAAAAGGGAAGGAACCTAGCAAGAAAAAGCAAACCTCTTCCATGCCTAAGTTTCCAGAACCAATTTTATTTGTAAAATGTATATCATTCAATATATCTGTATATTGGTGATGTTAACTTAAAAAGTTGTGACTGAAACAATGTTCTAATTCTTACACATCAATTTAAATGACCTTTACACAAACCTATATTTTGAGATGATGCGCTTCTACTTGGGGTACTGCTTGACTGATCTTGAAGGACTCTGGGCTCATCCATGGAACTTGATAGTATATCTGTAGAAATTAGTAAAACATCTTAGAGAATGGGTCAATATTTTCAATAACGATAAAGAATGTATAGTTAATTACATTAGGGGGGGGGGATTTAATTAGGTGACGGACATCAATTTTGAGTTGAACAGGGTTTCTTCATTTAAACATTTTGACTTTAGTTAGAAGGGGTTGACTTTAGTTAGAAGGGGAGGGGGGCTAACACCTAACTAAATTATTACTTAACCATGTTTTTTGACGAATTGAAAATATTGATCCGTTCCCTTATCACATATTTTGGGTACACAGTGATACAACACCCATCTCTGGTTGTGTGTTGTTTGTATAATTGAGAAATCTAAAGTAATGTAACTTACCATTGTTAAATACAGGTGTTCCCTGGGAGGCAGGGGTATAATCCTGTCTGAGAGAAAGTATGTCTGAAACAGTGACGGATTCATAATTATACCAAATGTTTAAACAGTCATAAAGTAGAACCATTCTTTACTTCATCTTTGTAAGCAATCGGTTAAAAATTACCTATAACATGATTTAAATAGGGTATACATTCAGCTAAACAGTGAGAAGGTGCAACGGGGGGGGGGGGGGGGGGGGGGGGTAGTCACAGATGATATGTTTGATCAAGAGATAAGTGAGATTAAAGTGGCAACAATTAGTGCACAATTCAATGATCATGGACCAGTGTCAAAATATATTTAAGTTTGGATATTTCATCAAGACTAACATATATTTTTATTATCTCCAACAAAACCCATCTGGATAGACATTATTTCAGCTGATATTCCACTTGAAACGTCGTGAATCTTCAAAATCTATAAGTGGGACTCCCTTTATAGAAGCTTTGAACAGAATTTACACTTCTTAGAGCTGAAATTGATAGTTTATCCATATATTTAAGAAAATAGGTATGTCAAAGAAGATGTTAAGCCATATATTGCCCTCATAGCTCAGAAAAAAAATGTTATCGATTATTGTCTTTCTAAGATCGGCTTTCTTTACCTGTTCCTGGGTCCTCCCCTCTTTTGGCTTAGTAATCCCAACTTGCCCTCTTCTTTTCCTTCTTCTAGGTGCTGAAAAGTTGAAACGGTAATCTAGATACATGTTTGATCAAAGTCCTAAACTATGATGCAGCCTACAAAGAAATAGTGAATCTAAATTAACACCATGAAGAACAACAAAAAAAGGAATTAAGCAATTCACAATTCAAGATTTACTTTTGAATGTTCTTATTACATTCTTGAACATGCTTAATTTGCCTTGTTTACAAAAATATTTGATATTACAAAAAACAAATGCAACCATTATAACAGTGCTACTACTCAAATAGATTGTATATGATGAAACAAGAAAGTAGAAGTTGGTGAAGAATACTTACATTGTTTTGGGTTCAAAGTTTCTGAGCTTTCTGTGCTTTCTGCCTCTGGAATTAGAAATCAAATTACCTCAGTTAATTAATTCAAATTACATCTTTCAGCTAAACAAAGCATAAATGGAGAAAGGTTTGATACGAAACATCTCCATTCATTCATTCATGAGATTTTATCAAGTTCATTTCATAGTGGCCATCACCAACCCTGAGCAGATTCAAATCAAATTCCTTGAAAAACTTATCATCCTCCAGAATATGGTGTTCTTCCATATGGGAGTTTAGGTCATCCATGTCCTCAAGTTCCATTTGACAGAGACTGCATGTTACAAAATTGAAGACAATCTTCATTTTTAAGGCGTAGGGGAGGCCATCAAAACATACATTCAACCACTGCCTTTTAACATCATTGTGAGTATAACGTTTGCACCCTGTTGCCTTGCCAGTTTCTCGTAGCACCACCTTCAGTGTGTTAAATGAGTTGGGGTTTACCATTACTGGGTCGAGTAATTTTGGGAGATTTTTTCTTCTTTATGAGATGATGGAATATGGCCGAATGCTCCAGTCTCACCATCCAATAGGTGTTTTGGATCTGCTGATTCTGTTTGAGTTTTTGGGACTTCTTTCGAAGTTCTTGAATGGGTTGTGGTTGTGTCAATCGCATGCTCATATTCATTATTCTTCATTAAGTTTGCACCACATTCACATTTGCATGTGCTGCATGTTTTGAAGTTTCTAGCTCTAAAGGAGTTTTCTGTCTATATGATCTTTTGTCATGTCATCTTCAAGTTCAAGTTTGGACATCTTTCAAGTATGTATGTTATGTATATATTCTTGTTCATAGTGAGTTTGTTTCAGTTTTATTGTTTTAGCATTCAGGAGATTATTTTTTTCTTTCCTTTATGTCTCTCTCAACTGTCCCCATGTGTAAGATCAGCTCTTCATTCCCAGCAATTTGCATCCATTTTTTGGGATGCAGTTGTTTGTCATTCTGGACTGTCACTGCTGGTAAGTAAGTGAGACTGCATTTATGTTGGTTATAACGGAACATCTCAAATTATTGTCTGCAGCAATGTTCCAACTTTTCTCTATGATCTGTTCATTATCAAAATACACTACTAGATCTCCTGGTGGACATGGAGGGGGTTGGGTTGCCTGTCTGCCATGCCAATTTTTTAAAGTTCTGCCACTTCCAGCTGGTAGAAACTTTCCAACTATTTCTGATCCCAGGTGGCTCTGGGTGATGAAATTTGTAATCAGATTTACAAGGAAACATATCGGCCCAATGAATCGTACTTTAAAAAGTGATACAATCATTTCTATAATCAGCATAATTCTGTGGGCATTATCATTCATGTTTTCATTACCCATACATTTTATGAGACCAGATATGTAAGAGACTATTCCATTGTTCTTCAAATTAGAGATGACATCAGTACAAGAAATGCTTTTATATTATCCATGCTGTTATGTATATCTTTTGTGTAATCATATATTTGTGAAATATCATCTGCTGCCAAATGACCAAGATGTTCCAGGCATTCATTTCTTTTTTTAAAGTCCCATTTCAGTCCATATATTTTACCCTCTGGTTCCAAGGTATAAAAACTTTAAAACTTGACATCCAAGATGATTGTCGAATTGTAATGCAAGAATTGAATAAATCATAAACGAAAATGCATGTCACTGTATCACTCATTGTCATTATTGTGCTTGTTATGGACATGGGGTCTCATAATAAACTTATAAAATCTGAATTGTACATTATCTATTTCATTGGGGAGTTAAATCATTCTTTTGCAACACGGTATTAATAAGTTCTATAAAAATGTAATGACGATATAACCTTCAGGAGATGCCAGTGGTCAGTTCCCAGTTTCACCACGAAGTGGCTAACATGGGTCATATGTAAATGACAGGTATAAGGGAAAGCTCCTCTAAAGTTCAATATTCAGTAGATTTATTGATAAATTTTCAATTAAGGTGTATAGGTGATTAGCTTGAACATTTTAGAATTGTATGTAATTATATGCAAAATAAACGCCCAGTGGGCGTTTTTAGAGAAACAAAGTGTGAAATAAATACCATGCTATTATCTCTAATGACAGCGTTATGTGGATGGGACTGGGGAAAAGTTATCGGAGTCATACTTTGAAGCTTGTTTATGATGTCAGCTGTCACAAAGTCCGGTCCATCCTGTTCTTCTACCATTTCATTGTCTATGTGAGAATGAGAGTCTATTGTAATTTCAGAATCATATACTGTCATTTCATTACTAACTTGTTATTCTCGTTCTATGCAATTTCATTGGTAATTTTATTTGATTTTGTAGGCGTTGAATCAGATATTTTGGATGATTTCATTCGAATATTGTCAATCACTGAAATTGTCATAAATTCAACACTTTCTCCAATTATTTGTTTATTTATTGATTTCACTTCATTTGGTATTATTCCAGAGAACTTCCTGTTATCATTCTAAATTTGCCTCTTTTTCAATAATCTTTCTCATCTTCATCTCTTCTTCATGATGTTCTATAAGGTGATTCATAATGTTTTGAAATTTAAGAGTTTGTAATGAAGGACAGTAAAAACATGTAAATCCAACCACTCTGAAATGCAAAGAACATTTCATTAGAATCCATGGTAAATTCACTCACTTGGCTGATCATAACTTTTTTATGATATCCTCCTTAATCTATACTGAAAGTATTATGTATATAAACCATAGATATATTGATTTTGTGGTTTTGGCAATCTAAAAACAGAAAATTTTGTGAAATATACATTTTCATTCAGCGGGTTTTTGATTTTGCTTCATTTATCAACTCAGTTCAGGTATTTCGGTTGAGTCAATCACTGAATCCTGTTACCAAATGAATCTTTAGTCTCTTATACAGCATATGGAATACCATCTGCACGTAAAATGACATTAAGGTGGTAAAGAAAAGAGAAACAAACATACCTTTCCTCCGACATTTTGGATTTTGCGCATCTTGTCGAGTCTTTGATCACACACTTTTAATAGTAGGCGATCACTGTACATACAGTGGTTATGCATACATTACACTTCGTGCCTTGATTTTGCTCTGGTCTTTGTAGCCATGGGAAATCGTTTTCCCATTTAGGAATATATCAACGGACTTTTTGAGCCATGATAACTGCTAAAAGACTAGTTTTGAAAAAATCACATTTCAAAACAGGCGCGGCCATTACGAGATTTCGTGCGAGAACAAAGAAATATGTAATCTCAGGTCTTTTTATATCTTTTTAACCCCATCTAATTCTTGGGCAAACACATACATGGACATAGCTATTCCTTTTATGTCCCATTATTTGTGAGAAAAATTTATGTTTGTTTTGTTATTTCTACAGGATATGCAAAATGTTAATCCTAGTTCATCCACAAACCACAGACCTACTGATCTTTTATATTATCACTGGTGATCCGCTTGATTACGCTGGTTACCGAAACCTCTATTGAAAATGTGCACATGTAACAAAGTAGACTTGCTCATTTGAGGCCAAAATAAAAGTGTAGTTTGAATACTATATCAAGTCATTTGGGAATCAAACCCAAACCAAGGAATGATAAGTTCCAAGGTAAGCCTATACAACTTGTAAGATATTTGTATAATCACATCACTTTAATTTTGACTTTTTTTTAACAAACTGGCCCTCTGCTTTTACAAGGACTTGGGACCTTCTAGCTAAGCTAGGTAGCATTACCAGTTTGTGGGTGCTTATTACGCTGGTCACCAATAATGTTGTGGAAGCAATTGTTATCAGGATGCTGTTGTTAAATCCGCTGGTCATAATCATATCCATTGTGAAAGCAGTTGTGGGATATATACTCTAATCAATAACCAGGTAGTTTCTGAAAGCAGTTTTCTGATTACGTGTGTTGAAAGGGCTGGTAGTTTGTGATAGCAGTTATCTGAATACGTGTGTTGAAAGGGCTGGTAGTTTGTGAAAGCAGTCTGAATACGTGTGTTGAAAGGGCTGGTAGTTTGTGAAAGGAGTTATCCAAATACGTGTGTTGAAAGGGCTGGTAGTTTGTGAAAGGAGTTATCCAAATACGTGTGTTGAAAGGGCTGGTAGTTTGTGAAAGCAGTCTGAATACGTGTGTTGAAAGGGCTGGTAGTTTGTGAAAGGAGTTATCCAAATACGTGTGTTGAAAGGGCTGGTCTGAAATCATAGTCCGGTTTGAATCTGGTTTTGTCATCGCTTGTAGGCAGCAGTGCTTTGGAACATTATGGCGGTTCATAAAGAATGTCAGCCTGAAAGAAAAAATAGCGTTATAAATGTCTCAATCGATTCACGTTCTCATAACATTTTAAAAAATAATTAATAAAGTTATACTTAAATTAGAAGAAAAATAAATTGAATAGAGTGCTATGGTTATGGAGGATCATAAAAATGAGTTAAGAGATAGCTAAATACTGTGGTAATCAAGGGCCATAAACAGTAATGATAAATTCCCGTGGATGGATGTGTATAAATTCAATATTCAATTACCGTGCTACAGAGAAAATAAGTATGAACACTTAACTGATAATTACACATTGGAAAAATATATATATATCACATGGATATTAACCTTTTGAACGTTTTTGACGTAGTTGGACTTGTACCAACCTTTAACCAGTCCTGCTGAGGTGTGTATACAAGAGGTTTCACAATATCCATTTTACTACACGACTGCCTCCCATTTGTCGTGTTGAGTCTATATGTTACATCGGTTTGCCTGCCATTTCCATCCAACTGAAGCTGAAAATGCGACATTGTTTAAATTTAATCATATTTGTAACTACACAGTCACATAATCTATTATTTGTAATTACTGAAAAATGCTAAAATTACTTATTACAATAGGAAAGTTTAGTACAGATAATCATATTTGTTGTTACACAATCAAACTGTATGCATTGTAACCGTAAATATACTAATAATACGGGTTGTTGTTTAGCAAATATTCCCCATTTACTTGTATCCCTGTGTGGTTCACTATGCAGACTACGTTCCGTTTAATGCATCGCTGCTTGAGCCAACCTTCTTGAAGAATATCCTTCTAAACTCCTGATCACTAAAACGTGACAGTAATGCACCACATGACGGTGAGAGTTTGAAAAATTCTTTCTGCTCCACATTCCCTGGCACTACCATCTCCCTAAGATAAAGTAACCATCAATTTTATTTCGAGTGTGTATTCATTCATTTATATATCATATAGCATATTATGAATTATGACGAAAATCAGTCAATTTGTATTTGAGTTATCTTCAAATGAATGAACAGATAACAAGGGCAATATATTCCCTCTGAATTTTTAGGGATAATAATTTATTTTATTTTAAGTAAATACATTTCAGCAATGGTGCGATCCTTTTATTGTCCTTTTTGTCTATGGCACATTGCTCCTGCCCTTGTTTTGGTTACCTATGGTATTTGAAATTTTATAGATAACTATCTGACTAATTCTCAGTGGATTCATTAGCAATTGAT